GTACCTACCTACCCATCACTCTATTCCCATTTCCAATAAGCAATATGATGGAAAGTCCAGAAAGAGAGTATGGGAAAGGTGAAAGACAAACAGACTTGCTGAGCTTTGGGACGCTGTTATAGTAGATTTGTGTCAACCTGCCTGTGCAATGAGGTCATCTCCAGGTGTACTCTCTTGAGTGATACCATAAATTCAAGTGAATTGTGTGTGAAAAGAGAGCTTGCTTGGTTGAGGCAAGTTGCTTTTGGAATATCCTTTATGCATTTCATGGGGGAAGGGGAAGGGAACTGTTTTACCTGGAGACTAAATGTTATTCATTTGTCACACAGATAATTTATTTTTCAGATTTGAAAATCTTTCAGTTATGTAAGCACTGCTTTTATTAGCTATTCCCCCCCCCGTCCCCCACAATATTCTATTTTTATTGTTACTTATATTGGTCCTAAATCACCCCCTGGAACTTTACCATTGAAAGTAGAATCAAAGTTGAAGATAAAATAAATAACATTGAAGTAGGCAACAATGAGGTACTGAGTAGAATCTTCCATCATTTCTCTCACATCATCTTCCAGGCCTTAACAGAACAACCTCAGTGATACTTATTTGAGGAATAAATCTGATATATGATGTTTGTAAAACTGTGGCTTTTTAATTTTCAGATTACCATGTACATATTCTTTGCTTAGCTTCCTGTAGACTTAGCCAATGTTTTGTGGTACAAAACCCCATGTATGTGGCTTGAAAGATGTGATGTCTGGTCCACCACCGATTACAATATAGAATAAAAACACTAAAACTATCCACAGGCGTCAGTGCCAAGATATCCTTGATTGTTTTGGCTTTGCTGGTTGGAGTTATAACCACTACAGAAACAATCATTTCTAGGAGTCTGATACAGCACTGAAATTCAGAAATGCCTTTCTAAGTTTCTTTCTAAACCTGGCCTTCGCCCTGTGTGGCCTTTTGCAAACAACCTTTGCTTCTAGTGCTTAAGTCATCTTTGGAGAAATGCTTTCAGTGCGCAAGGGTGATTATGTTTAATTGTGAGGATTGTTCAAATAAAAAGTTAGCACTTTGTATTAGGGAAACTGCCTCCATGAGACTTTTAAATGTCCTCATCCAATTAGGCACAACGTAACAAGTCATTTGATGTAGTTCTCGTAAGTTCAGAGGCACAAATACTTTCTGCTATAATGCGAAGGAACTGGATATCATAGTCCACAAAAGTGAGGACTTGGAAATACTGTTTTAGTGTGTTCCTAAACTTTGCAGAAGGGTGATTTTCCAAGGTGATATTGAGCATACAAACGCTCCTAGATGTACATAAATAAGAAGTACTGTGACTGCAGTTTTGGCTTCAAGATCACTGAGAAGGAACTGCTGAAACAATGAGAGGACTTTCATTTTCTGATCCTTTCAGAAAATCAGTGGCAGTAGCAGTGGTTGAAACATCAATATATCAGGAGGAAAACAATAAGTGTGCCCATAATTGGATGGAGGAGTATTTCAACATTCCATCTCTAAAGATTACTGCATGGGTAGAGACTTTTTGTGTGTGCAGGTTCAAGAGGATTTCTGCACAGATATCTCTATGTGTCTAGAAGAAGTCCTTATTGCTTCTGGTCAGCAAGGCAGCTAACAGAATCATATTAAAATATATGGTGCCTAAGTCATTTACATGTCCTTCCACTCATTCGTATAATTACTGAAAAAATATTTTAAAAATCAATATGTGGGAATCTCCTGAGGCTGGAGAAGCTAAACCAGTGAATGTTTGGAACACCTCTTGCTCCAGAAGAAACTGCATAAACAGTTTTGTAGTACATATTCTGGTTCAAGGGACTTATCAGTGGCAGGAAGTCTTGTCTCCTAAGATTTCTACTGGGTTACCTGAACCCATGACACTATAACTCCCTCCTTGTCTTCAGGAATGCTGAGAGGGGTATCTTTGTTGCTGTTTCCCCATCACTGTGAAAGAAAACACAAAGAAAAAAGCAAAGTTGGGGTGGAGGGCTGGTTAAAGACCAGCTTTCCTTCTCTCCCATTATCCAGTTGGATGAGCTGTTTTTCCTCCCTCATTCACTGTGGTCCCGGGAAGAAGCCCTGAGAACTTTTCTGCAGTGACAGAAAAGTACAGCGGAAGGAAGAGGATCATTGGCTGTGTGGAAATGCCCCTTGTTTTACAGCCCAGTGCACAACTTTGGTCCAATATTCACACATGATTTCTCCTAAATGGAGAACAATGAATTTGCTTGCTATGCTCCATAAATCCACATTTATACATACCATATATAATTGCTCACATCATTTAATCAACCTTTGCATAAATATCTGAATAGGTAGCCCAGCCATAATTACTGTACCTAACACGTAGAACCTCAGGCTATTGCCTGGGTCACCTACCCCAAAATTTAGCCCTGGCAACCACTACAATCCACTTATTTTAAAGAAAGTACAGATAACACTCCTGAAATAAAACAAAAACAGGAAAGATCATGACATAAGCTTTCTGGAAGCTGCTTAAAAACAGATGGAGCCCTTTACCAAGAACTAGCGTCTTTTATTTTTTAAGAGATCCCAAGTAAACAACAATAAAAGTAGAAAAATAACAGCTCAGAGAGGGATCATTATCTCAGCCAAATCCATAGATCATGAATTAAACATCATAATGATAAAACCCTGGAGTATTATGAGAATTACCACTTGATTTATTTGGTACTTTCGGATTTTTCTTTTAGATGAGTTGCCAGAGAAAGAACATAGTTAAACAATAAACTTTACTTAATTTTGTTTTATTGCCCTTAGTTTTAATTTTCAAAAAATTGAATAGATTAAAGGAGCGCAGCTGACCGGAGTTACCTGTCTTATGTTGAGAAAACAGTGAGTGATTACAGCTGTTATGATACAATCTATAGGGAATGAAGAATTGACCTGTTGTGATTATGTTGGGGATACTATAGGTTAAAAGGGCTAGCTAAATGGCATGCATGGCCAAACATTTGGGGCCTGGATCATCTTTTGAGAATGTACAAAATGGCTGACATATAGTGATTTGCCAATTCATGAATGGCCTGCTACAAACATCCATTCATCAGAAGGTGCCCTTTATCCCTGACCTGCTCTCATCTTTGCTTTTTTTCTGGGCTTTCATCTGGCAGACTTCCAGAAAAGCACTGGACTGTAGCCGTTCACCCTTTTTATTTTCTAAGGATGCGTACTGATTGGTCTGTTTGTTCAGAGCATGTCTTATATAAATGAAAAATAAGTAAGTACATAATATGATGCTAGAAGCTGGTGCCTTGCTTTGTAGCACATCGTTTCCCATTTAACTGCACATTTTTAATTAAAAGAAACTTAAATATTAAAATCAGATAGGATGTGTCTGACGATGTATCTGAAACTAATTAGTGGCTAATTATTCCACTGGTCTATGTGGAAGCATAATTATTCTTCAGGCCTTCCTATCAATGGACATTTGACCTTCAAAAAGGCCAACTGAGCTTGTGGTATGAAGCTTCACATTTATATGATTGGTATCAGGTACTGGATGAGAAAAGACATATATTGAGAGGGCTCCTTATACCAGAATCAGAAGCCTAGTTCATCATGTTTCCTGGTCTCATTGAGGATCCCTACTAAAATATATCCATACTCATACAAGCCCCTTTCAACTAATACCAATCTTATATTGTCCAGGTGTGGATAATGGGTTCTTCCATCTCTTTGGGCTGATCTCCATTAATACTACTGAAAGTTCAGAATGCTGTGACTGTTGCTACCTCATCATGACTGCAATATCAATTTTCCATATAGTTAGGAAATTTAAATATTGAGGTGTATACAAGACATAGAAGAGTATAGCTCAAGGTTGAACTGTGGAGTCCTTGGGGCTCTCTGAGCTTGGTTGTTTTCTTGCAAATATTTTCTTACCTGGCTAGGTAACATCTTTAGTGCTAGAATGGAG